TTTACAGCGCTTCCTGCTGGTTTCATCCCTCTCAACTTCAGTTTGAACGTTATTTGTTAAAGGTGACATATCATGAAAATCTGACTTTTCCAGGTTTTAAGTGCTATAATCAGGTCCCCGGTGCATCTACCAACCAAGGAAACGTGAAAAAGATTAACCCAGTAACTTTGTTTTGGTAAGCCTTTTTCTGCAAGCGTCTGAAAAAACTAGCGGGTCTGATTTCGCTCCCTTGGTGACGTGGCAAAGGGATTTCATTATAATATTACCGCCCCTTAATCTGTAAGTTTACACCCATGGCGCCGTTATTGTGTTTTCGCAAGCGACAACGGTGTACCAGCTCTAATGCCATGGCGAAAGTTTGAGCAAAACATGCTAACTGTTCTGTCTTTGGCTGCACAGACGAGCACAGAACACTATTTAGAGTCCCAGCCTCAGAGGAGACGAGAGCAGTGGATTTATTGATTTATTTACTGTATATTGCTGCTGCCACACAGATCTAAAATAAACATGCGATTTATTTCCCAGCTGTTTACCTTCACAGACATAACCGACTGTTTTTTGTAACTCATGTGTGTTTTTAACGTACACCTGTGTGTGAATGAGAACTTAGTTTAGTACTCACCTGCTGTGACAGCCGCTTTCTGTGCGTGTGCTTCGGATGTGTGCTCTCAGAAAACCGTATATCAGAAGTTTAAACTCATATGGTTTAAAACGCATGATTTCAGCGGGATAAACATTAGTGTTGGGTCGTTCTTGAACGATTCGTTCATTTTGAACGAATCTTTAATGTGACTCGGGAAGAACGAGTCATCTCGGGGAGTGATTCGTTCAGTCGCGCATGCGCAACATCCTATAGGTTCTGTACTGGAATTAGTCAAGTAGTTCACCTGGTTCGAGTCTTCGGGTTTTTCCTAGTCGTTCGTGACACGTGACAGCCCCATAAGCTTTAACCAATGCAGTCTGAGCCGGAAAGAGAATTGATTAGTTCATCTCTCGAGTCTTCGGGTTTTTCCGAGTCGTTCATTCATCACGTGAGAGACCCATAAACCCAAACCCGAAGACTTGTCAGATAAGAGGTGAGGTGAGCTAATCATAGACTGAAGACCCAGGTAAACAATGAATTAATCTTTTCTGTTTCTTATAGCTTTTTTGTATTGTTTGTAGTGTGATCAACGTTTGTGTAAGTAGTAGACGTATTAGGGAAGTAACACGTAACATTTTAATTATATTTTGCTAAAATGAACGAAATGACTCGAAAAAAGATTCGTTCATTTTGCTGAACGAGACTCAAAGGTCCGAGTCGGTAAAATGATCCGAACTTCCCATCACTAATAAACATGATAATCAGAAGCAAAGGGGGTGGAGAGCAGCAGCTCATTTGCATTTAAAGAGACAGGCCCGAAAAACAGCGTGTTTCTGCTTCCACTCAAAATAGGCATTTTCAAAATGATATAATAAATGATCTGTGGACACATTCTGGGGACACCAGAGGCTTATATTATATATTGTAAAAGGGGGCATAATATATCTCCTTTAAAGAAAATTGTTAATTTGATTGTTTTATATTATTACATTTCGAAAAGGAATCAATATTTCAGACTACAAACACCATGAGAGGATGCATCTTCACAATAGCCTATTCAGGTTGTGGTTTCCAATAGCCAATTCTTAAAATATTACCTCCAATCGGTAGGCCTAAATACATTTATCTGATTATAGCTGAATATAGTATTTATATACTTGACATTTGAATTGGTAACCAAGAAAATGAATGTAGTGTCAATTATATTAGTAATAAATTACACATTACAATTGAGATAAAATCCACTTTTCTCATTCAAAACCTCTTACATCCAACATACACAGATTATAATACTGATTTTAAGTGAACTCTCAGTTTTAAAAAGATTTCTTCACAAAGAGGTTTCTTCACAATGCCTTATCTGTTCTCAATTAATATATGGCAGCTGAACTGAGAATGTTTACAGAGCTGAATCAAAGGTGAGTTGAAACTTGTGAAGAGAAGCAGAAGAATGGCTGTTTGTTCGAAATGAGTAATATGTTGTGACCAACCAAAAAAAAAATATCTGGAGGGGTCGAGATAATGTCTGAGTTATTAGATGCCCATTAAGCTAGATGCAAACCCTTGTGATCCAGCAGATGGGAACAATGGCTTCATTTTTAACTCAGAATCAATCAATGTCTTTTTCTGATTCACTAAACCAACAGTGAACAGCCAAACCACAGATCATATGCCACATGGCTTTGAAGTCAGTTCAGGCATAAAGGCCAATGTTGGGAAGATTTGTCCCAGGCCAGGAAAAATCAGTGATGCCTTTTGGCGTTCTTGGATTTAGACCAGTGTGACATAACCGTTCTTCTTCTTAACCCTGTAAAGCCTTACATATAAAATAATACTAAGAAAAATCTCGTTTGTAATCTAGAGGCTTTAGAAATTCATGTATCAAATATGATGCAGTATAGGTTTTAGGCTTAATAAATGAACGTGATTCAGTGGGTGTCATTATAATGTCCATGCACCATTATTAAAAATGCATATATGCTAAACATCATGCAATTTCCAAAGACATGTACTGTACATAATGTCCTTGTCTTGAGGTCAACTGTGTTTAACTTTAAATTCAGCATAGTGCCTGTCATATCTTATAGCGCTCTCATTTGCATGCTCAATACCTCGTCCTGTTTTGTAATTCAATACATCTTCTTTTCTGCTTGTGCACAAAGTATGAATATGTAAAACATTCAAAATGCAGCAGCAGGCAAAACCAAGAAAAGCTAACTACATAAGCTGCATTCTCTAAAATGGCTGGTGAACAGCTCAGGGACCTGTTTTATGAGCTATGCAGACATTTTAATTATTCAGCTGAGAAAAAGTCACTCATCATGTCTAGATTTAGGTCTTTTTGTGTCCCTCCCTATATTGTATCGTCCACAGCATTGTTTTTTAAATGTAGTCATTTTAACACACAGGTGAGATGGAGGTCGCATATGCAAACAGGTAGACATCATAAGGACCACCATTAATGCTAAGTAATTACCTTTGTATCTTTCTCTAAGTAAATGATTAAAGGGGTCATATGATGCTTTTTTAAAGATCATTATTTTGTGTATTTGGTGTAACAGAATATGTTGACATGCTTCAGTGTTCAAAAAACACATTATTTTTCAAATACTCTACATTATCGTAGGTCCTCTATGCCCCGCCTCTCTCAAACGCTTCGTTTTCTACAAAGTCCCTCTTTCCGACAAGTGCAGTCTGCTCTGATTGGCCAGCTGACCCAGTGCGTTGTGATTGGCCAGACACCGCAAGCACTCGTCGGAAATGTAACGCCCCTTACCATAATCGCGAGCTTCATCTTTCAAAATAAACGTAAAGACAGAGTCAGAATTACCTCCTCTTCTAGGTTCACGAAACGGTCGTCCATAAAATGCATTGCTGTTCTGTTGTAAGTGATCTTAAAGATTCCTAAATGCATCTACTTTCGGAAGGCCAAATAAAGTGGCTTTTGCTTTCGCCTAGAAACACACAGCGTCTCCCTGACATGGCTGCTTCAACACTAACTGCGGTTACTGAAACCACGCCTTCTTTCTTTGCGTGCACATTTGGGCGCATTATGCAAATATTTCCACATAGTGAGGTAGATATGTGGGGGCGTGGCAGAGTCTTAACTTTGATAAAGAATATCTCTTTGGTTTTGAGACTTTAGTCTTTGCAACTTCAGGGATCTTATCTATGCACAATCAGCTTGTAACACTCCAAAGAGAAAGGAAAACTTGAAATCACATCGTATGACCCCTTTAAGAGTTGAGGAGGCCGTCTTTAGTTACTTGCTGCCTCCTGTTGGACAGAAAAGATAATTACACCTGAATCAGTTTTAGTGCTTTCGCATTTGTAAATATATATATACCTTGGGATATTATTTCAGTATTATGATCCCATGCGATTTATTTATAGGCTATCGCTATTGTTGTCTTTATAAATTTTTTAGTTTGTTATTCATATGGAAAAATACTATAGTAATTTATAGTAAATACTGTAGTGTTTTTGAACCATACTATAGTAAAGTGTATTATACTGTATATATTATAGTATTTACAACACTTTTTAATTAATGCTACAGCATACTGTAGTATTAACTATAGTGAACTGATGAACTGTAATAAATACTTTAGCTATTATACTTTAGTTTTTACTACAGTAAACTGTAGTGTATTGTAGTATAATATAAAATATAAACTTAATACAGTATTAGGTAATTTGTTTAGCCTATATTACTATGTTGTTATATTACCACAGCAACTATAGAATTACCACAACAATTAATTCAAGTATTTTACTATAGTATGGTTCAAAAACACTATAGTATTTTCATGTGGGTTGTGAGGGTCAGTGTAATATGAGTGCCACTTGTAATATTTAACTAATTATCATGTCTACATTTTAAAAAAGTGTGATGAATCCACAGCATCTAGTCGTTTTAATGGCTTGGGTTTGCGCCATTTGCGAAAAAGTTGAGGCCTAAACGGGTTTTGTCAGGACGGTTTCTTTCTTTCTTTCTTTCTTTCTTTCTTTCTTTCTTTCATTCTGAAATCGACTGCCATAATATATGGAATTATTTTTTTATTTTTTTAAAACTTTTTTTTATTCAAGGAACAATAACACACAATAAAACAACATTAAAATAAGAAAAGAAAAAGATAGAAGGACAAATTACTACAAACAAAAACCATAATATATGGAATGATCTGCACAACATATAAAATCATATCCAGTAACCACAAACCACTGTGATTGGTCCATTTTAGCCAGCGCGGAGAAAAGTTACAAGTAACACGTGAAAAGGCATAATTAAGGCCTATCTCGAACCTGTTGAATTATACACCAATTCTGTGCCACTACTCCGCACATTTCGTTATCTTTTACCCATTTCTGTGAAAAAGCCTTTCTCCGTACTCTACTTTTGGTCTCCTCCTCTCCAGCAGGGGGAGTAGTGCTCCGTTCACAGTCCTGTGTTATCATAGAGGAAGAGAGCAGCGACGACAACAATAACAACAGCGTTTGGCAGCTGTGCGGTTAGTGCCTAATGTGAGCTACCAAATTAACATTAAACATTATAAAATCACTTTGATTTATTTGTTTAGCATCAGGGCAACACGTTGGATCTTAATGGTGAGTGAGATGCTATGACAACCTGATTATATTATAAAAGGAAGTTGTTTTTGTGTTGTAATGGCAGCTTTAATATGTTAAACCGATGATCAGAAATAGACCATAAAACTCCTGAAGATATCAGAAAAGCAGCACTGAACTCTTCTCTGGCATCATGGCCCAACAGAGAGGAGTCAACAGCCTTCAGTTCAACCAGGACCAGAGTGAGTCTTTAGAATAGTTCCCTTGAAAAACATCCTGCTATTTCATTACTAATGCTGCTAGGTTGATTATTTATTGTTTATATCATTTTAGAAAACTATTAGTGCCTTATTGCATTTAATATTGTCTCTTAGAGTTAACCAACTCTTTGCCACTAATAATTATTTACTAATAATGTGTGATTGATTGATTGATGGCCTTTTTTATTTGGACATCTAGACAGCTAATATGTGTATGATATAATTTCATGATTGCAAATGAGAAACAAAAAAAAGTCCATTATTGACAAGGCGGATTTCTGAACTGATTAAAGGGGATATAAAGCCAGTATTCTCAAATATTAAATAAAATATCATGAATATCATTGTCAGTCAGTATTAATGATGTACTAATGATGTTTTTTTTTTTACTGTATTCATTAGTTTTGAGTTTTCCCGTGTTATTTAGGTTGTTTCTGCTGTGCCATGGAAACAGGTGTTCGTATTTACAATGTGGAACCTTTAATGGAAAAGGGCCATTTAGGTAAGAGAAGTCTGTGTTTTTCTTTAAGAAAACATATTTGTAGAGTTGTCTGTGTTAGTTGTGTTGATTTGATTGATTATAGATCACGAGCAGGTGGGCAGCATTGCTCTGTGTTCAATGCTTCATCGATCAAACCTCTTGGCTGTGGTGGGAGGCGGCGTCAACCCCAAATTCTCTGAAATCTCAGGTACACTGGGAGTCTAAAGTGCACTTATATACTTAGATAATTTCAATTCAGACTTTAAATGAGCCATTCATTTTCCAATGTTTCATCTTATCTCTGGCAGTATTAATTTGGGATGATGCTCGGGAAGTGCGAGACCCTAAAGACAAATTAGTCCTTGAGTTCACATTCACCAAATCAGTGCTGGCTGTGCGCATGAGGCATGACAAGTAAGATCCTCAGCCATAAGACAGTAATGCTTCATCTTTACACTTAAAAATTCTGGTCGTATTAATAATGTCTCTTATTATATCTTTGTGCGTGAAGAATCATCATTGTCCTGAAAAACAGGATCTACGTGTATAGTTTTCCTGACAACCCAGTCAAGCTGTTTGAGTTTGACACTCGAGATAACCCGAAAGGTACTGTGAGCAATGCTTGCAATTTCATATAGTTTCATCAGAAAGAGGCTTGACTTTTATGTATTTCTGTGTTTTTGTGTTTGTAGGTTTGTGTGACCTGTGCCCTAGTTTGGAAAAGCAGTTGTTGGTTTTCCCTGGGCACAAATGTGGCAGCCTGCAGTTAGTGGTAAGACTTATGTGCAACTTGTTATAAAATATTACAGTAGTGAATTGAATTTTGCTTATTAAAGCTTGCAGTAATTTATTAAATGAATGACCCCATTTTTTACCCAAAAATGAAATATTGTAGTCAAAATGTAGATGTAGATGAGTTTGCTTCGTCATCAGAACAGATTTGGAGAAATTTATCATTAGTGAATTTATCAAATTTTATCATCAGTGAATGGGTGCCGTCAGAATGAGAGTTCAAACAGCTGTTAAAGACATCACAATTATCCACAAGTAATCCACACCACTCCAGTCCATCAATTAACATATTGTGACATGAAAAGCTGCATGTTTATAATAAATATATCTGTCATTAAGATGTTTTTAACCTCAACCCATTGCTTCTGTCTAAAATACGAGTCCTTTATCCATAATATTGCTTTCTCCAGTAAAAATGTGGACTCTTATTCTGACGACACCCATTCACTGCAGAGGATCAAATTGTAAGTGATGTAATGCTAAATCTCTCCAAATCTGTTCCGCTGAAGAAACAAACTCATCTACATCTTGGATGGCCTGAGGATGAGAGAATTTTCTTTTTTGTGTTTACTATTCCTTTAACGTATTTGTAGCAACGCTGCACTATGCAGTGTTATTATTTAACATTGTTCATGACTCTTTGACAGGACCTTTCCAACACCAAACCTGGCTCATCATCTGCTCCTTTCACTATCAACGCCCACCAGAGTGAAATCGCCTGTCTGGCACTGAACCAGCTTGGCAGTGTTGTTGCGTCTGCGTCCAGAAAAGGCACGCTGATCCGTCTGTTTGACACTACAACACGAGATAAGCTAGTGGAACTACGAAGAGGAACGGACCCTGCTACGCTCTACTGGTATTGAATTTGAGCTTCTTCTTTATCTAGATTCCAGCTCTGCTCACTTTGGACATTCTCTTAAATTCATGAGGTGCATCCTGGGATATTTTCTGAACAGTATTGAAGGAGTTCACATAGATACTGAACACCTGAATTCACTTAAACTATTAAAAAATTGTTTTACAAAACATTGATATGAAAACACTTTATTTGTGTATATCAGGGGCTCACAAACGTTTTTGTCAGCCGAACTACTTAGACGTAAAATATTTATTTGAAATATCCTCTGTAAATGCAAGTTAAAATTTCAATAATTTAAATACACATTTGCATGTTTATGGTTCTATGATGTCTGATCATGTTCATCTGGCATGCAAGAAAACCATAGATAAAATATTGATAATATCTTTTTTTAGATAGTGTTTTATTTATTTTAATTGTGTAATATATATATATATATAGTGTGTGTGTGTGTATATATATATACACATTTCAAATGTGTGTGTAGGGCTGCATAACTATTTGATTTAACAACATATTAAAATTATATTGCAATATTTTGTACAACTTCTAATATGATAAATCATAGGTTTTATCTATAACAAATCAACCTTTATATTTTATTTTACACTGTTATGTAACGAGAAAATATGATGACTAGGTTTTGATGCATACTACAGTTCAAAAGTTTGCAGTCGGTAAGATGTTTTTGGAAGAAGTCTGTTATGCTCACCAAGGTTGAATTTTTTTGATAAAAAAATGCAATTATGCAACAGTGTGGAGTGCGAGAGTCAATGAAAATGGAAAGGGTGACCTCTGATGGCTAGCAGACGGAAGTTCATGGACTGGATACATAACAGTTGTGAAACATTACAATTTATTAGAACTGTTAATCTGAAATAAATATTTTCTATTTTAATACATTTTTAAAATGTAATTTATTCCTGTGATGGCAAAACATTTCAATGTTGAAAACAGTTTCAAAATGTACGTGAAAAAAATGAAACGCAACCGCTGGGTCAAAACAACCCAATAGCTGGGTTTGTCCCTTTTTAAACCAGCATTTTTTAGAGTGTGTATTTATATACATAACATTTTGTAAATACACAAAATATTAATGAACAGTTCTGTCAGGCAATGTAATAAATAGGTTTATGTCAGTGGATATCACATCCACATACCACAGACTTGTACACTTTACGATAGATAGATAGATAGATAGATAGATAGATAGATAGATAGATAGATAGATAGATAGATAGAATTTATTATTATATAAAATATTGTGAGTTTTCAGTGCACAGGTCTACTTCCGTAACTTATAAAGTGATGGATGTTTTTTTTTATCTGATATAAACAACACGACAGAGATAGATGATACACGTTTGCATTTGCACTCGCATTCACGTTCACAGACATAAAGATAAACGCAAAACGAGGGAGTGCTTGAGGCTCATTATTACACACGGATGTGCTGAACTGTCCGTGACAACCATCCAAAAACACGCCACACGACCGAAAGAGCGCGTCCCGAGTCGGCCAGAGACGGTGGAGGTGTCGTGTTGGCTTGTATTTGTTGTATGACAGCAGAAGGTTGTTGAGCCGTAGCTGGGACTTCTCCTCAGAAAGTGAGTTTTTGGTCATGCTAACATGCTAGCTAGTCTTCGCGAACACAGCAGAAGTGACAATTGAAAACATACTGAAACATTTTATGACTGATACGCTCTAAAATAATAATAATCTAAGATTTCAACGTTTTAAGAGTATAAAACGTGATTATTTATATAAATAACGTGTAAAGGTGTTGAATTTACGGTTATGTTTGTGCTAGCTTTAACTAGCTTTTCATAGCCTTAGCACAAAACCTATATACTAAACTGATCATTTTAAAACATTAGATGGTTCTGTTGAATATTATTTTAATTTATATAAAAAAGTATTTTGAACTTTAACACGGACATTTTAAAAACTGACAGGACATTGGCAGCTGGTTAGCATTAATTGAAAGCTAACGTTGCACGACAACAAGTATCTTTCATTGTCAATAAATGTGAAGGATTCTGTTTTTCATTAATGATACGCTTTACATTACATACAGTATGGTAGATCTGACACTTTACCACATGGCTTGGCATCGTGCAACCTTCTCTTTTCAACATGTTTATGTGTGTTTGGCAATCACAGCCATTGCATGTCATTTGCAGAGGTTGCACACTAAATAACATAATAATTACATATGAAAGTGACCTCACAAATGATCTTACCGTTTTTTAGGCACAATTTAGCCCACAAGGATGGCTTCTCGTAAAAAAGTGCTTCTGAAGGTGATCATTCTCGGGGATTCTGGGTAAGTGTTGCCCTTCTGATCCAATGATGCCTGACAGTGTTATTTAATTCTTAAGATTATACAATAAAAAAGCAAGTTTTCTTGTATGTGTGTGCTGCAGAGTTGGGAAGACTTCTTTGATGAATCAATACGTCAATAAGAAGTTCAGCAATCAGTATAAAGCCACCATCGGTGCAGACTTTCTTACCAAGGAGATGATGGTGGATGACAGACTGGTGACAATGCAGGTATTTAGATGTGACAGATCATTTTTAGGAACCATTTTTGATTTAGCATATTATAAATAAATATATACATCAGGGTCACCATCGTAAATTAAAGCTAAACCCATTTAAAAAAGAAAGAAATGTCATGAAGTTGCCAAGACAGCATTTTTTAAATTTCCAATTAGTTTAACCTGTTAACCTGCTCCCCCCATTTTGGGACTCGCAGCTGAAAATGACCTACCTAATGTTAACAGTTCCTGAAAACTGTGTGCTGTATCTTTGGAAAGAAGACACTTTAGGCTTTACTATCCATCATCCAGAGTTAATCATGCTCGAAAAGTTATAGACACTGAAGTGCCTTGAAAAAAATTGTACCACACTGAATGTTTTTTTTTATTTCATATACAAATACATGAAATCAGTCCTTGAGCAATCCAGAAAAGTAATGGGTTGAAAGTCACATGTCTCATGAGTTTATATTTCAAATTTGAAGAAGATACCATGAAAAATTAGATTCCTGCAGCCAGATGCCTGACAGTGTTATTTAATTCTTAAGATTATACAATAAAAAAGCAAGTTTTCTTGTATGTGTGTGCTGCAGAGTTGGGAAGACTTCTTTGATGAATCAATACGTCAATAAGAAGTTCAGCAATCAGTATAAAGCCACCATCGGTGCAGACTTTCTTACCAAGGAGATGATGGTGGATGACAGACTGGTGACAATGCAGGTATTTAGATGTGACAGATCATTTTTAGGAACCATTTTTGATTTAGCATATTATAAATAAATATATACATCAGGGTCACCATCGTAAATTAAAGCTAAACTCATTTAAAAAAGAAAGAAATGTCATGAAGTTGCCAAGACAGCATTTTTTAAATTTCCAATTAGTTTAACCTGTTAACCTGCTCCTGACCTACCTAATGTTAACAGTTCCTGAAAACTGTGTGCTGTATCTTTGGAAAGAAGACACTTTAGGCTTTACTATCCATCATCCAGAGTTAATCATGCTCGAAAAGTTATAGACTCTGAAGTGCCTTGAAAAAAATTGTACCACACTGAATGTTTTTTTTTATTTCATATACAAATACATGAAATCAGTCCTTGAGCAATCCAGAAAAGTAATGGGTTGAAAGTCACATGTCTCATGAGTTTATATTTCAAATTTGAAGAAGATACCATGAAAAATTAGATTCCTGCAGCCATTTTTCTGAGACTATGTCTAGTCCCCCCCACCCCGTTTGAGGAAAAATAGCCACCAAATGTAAACAAAGGAATAACCATCCATATTACAACGTTATTGTTTCGTTGGACTAAAAGTGCTCTATGGGATGTTGTTCAGTGGACCCTTGCCTTTCTAACTAAACTGGGATTTACAGCAGTGGATGCGTTTATGACTCGTTATTGCGATGAATCTGGTATGCACTGCGTTTTTATTATGCATGTTTTGATGTGTACTGCGTACACAAATTTAGCAAATACATTCCTTATTAGCCTTCCATTGCAAAACAGCAATCTATCGTCGATGCTTGAGGCTTAGACCTTTAGAATGATATATAGCTTGTCAAGATTAATTATGTCTCTTTTCATTTAATCTATTAGTAAACATTGACACGTGCAAACAAAGAGCGTTCAGTGTGCCGCCGTCCAGGTGCGGGTTATCAGGTTAAATGCAAATGATGCAGCACTAATATTTTCATGGCCGTTTCAGATCTGGGACACGGCAGGACAGGAGCGTTTCCAGTCTTTGGGTGTGGCTTTTTACCGCGGAGCAGACTGCTGCGTGCTGGTGTATGACGTGACCGCACCGAACACCTTCAAAACCCTGGACAGCTGGAGGGACGAGTTCCTCATTCAGGCCAGCCCTCGAGACCCGGAGAACTTCCCCTTTGTAGTGCTCGGCAACAAAATCGACTTGGAGAACAGACAGGTCTGTCTTTACTCAGCCTCATAAAAATGTCATGTTTACATTTTGACATCAAATTCTCAGAGGAAAACCCTCAGTTAATTTCTACATCTCATCTACGTCTTCTTCTGTTGTTGTCTTATAATGATTATTGTACATGTAAACACTCCTATTGGAGGTACTGAATAGATAGATGGTTATGGTCAAACTGGTTTTATAAAATAGTATTGATTAGTGTTATTAAAATACTATTATAGCTTTTATTAATATTTTAATTCGTTTTTTAAAATTATATTTGTATATTAATATAATTGTATATATTCATTTTAGTTGAGGTTTTAGTAATTAAAATAGTGTTTTTGTCATTTTATTGTTTCTTTTCCCCTGAGGTCCACTTAAAATGTTACTTAAGTCATCTATAAATACTTTATACTACAAATTATTATATTAAGTATTTTTGTTTAATATTGTTAGTATGATTGAGATACTATTATAGTTTCTATTTTATTATATATTATAACCTTTTATTATAATATTTATATTTAATATTTAGTTGTTTTTTTACATTTTAATTTTAAAATTGTAATAATTGTTGTTTTTGTCATTTTTATTTTTGTTTTCCTAAAGTCCACTTACAACGTTAGTCAAGTTGTTTTTTACACTCTTATTTTTTATTTTAAATGTAAAATTTAACTATATTTGTGTATTTTTTTGTCATTTTGTTATTAGTTTTTTTTTTAAACTATCATGCGGCCCGCCACAATATCAAAACTGACCACCACAAATAGATTTTCCAAAAGGCTTTGACTTCGTTGAATAAATATGAGCACTGCACATTTCAAAATCAAAACGCAGCGCGGATGTTTTTATATCACTGTATCTCTGAAGGAAACCAATAAGCCCGTCTGATTTATGCAGCAAACATATTTTGCTTGTTATCAGTAATCATCTACTCTAGAGAGACTTTGCTGTTGTTATTGATTCTTTGTGGAAGTCTACCGGAAGTTACATTTGGGCCACAAATGTTGCACAAATGCGTGCATGCACCATAACGTTTATGCTGTTGCCATTGAAACGGTCTATATATTTTTATTAATTTTATTTCAGTTTTAATTATTTTTTTGTGTATCAAGTTACACTAAATGAAAACGTGAAGTTACGTTGGCAACTATCTGAAATAAAAAATCTTAACTTTTTATTTCAACCTACATTTTTTTTTTTTTTGTTAACAATATTGATTCTAAAATCTGATTGGATGAGCCACATATCAATTTACTGTATTGACCAATTGATCGCCTTGTGCAGGTGACAACGAAACGTGCCCAGGCGTGGTGTCAGAGCAAAAGCAATATCCCGTACTTTGAGACAAGTGCAAAAGAGGCCATCAACGTGGACCAAGCTTTCCAAACGATCGCTCGCAACGCCCTCAAACAGGTACGCGCCGTTTGACATGTCCAACAACAGCACCGCCACTCTGATACTAACGTCCGCCCATCTCACAGGAGTCTGAGGTGGAGACGTACGACTTCCCAGACCAGATTAAACTGAGAGATGACGGGCCCGTGTCCTCTGGTGACGGCTGCAGCTGCTGAGATGGGACGCTTGGAGACAGAGGGGACCAGAGGGGCAGAGGAGAGCCAGCGCAGGGCGGACCGATCCTGATGTGCAAAACATCCAGCATTCAGAAGAAAACTATTTCTTTCCAAACTTGTATGTAAAGAACTGTTAGGAATTTAAAGAAACTCCCTGCTACAGCATCACTTTTAATATAACTACCTTTAAGGATATTATTTCTATGAGAAAGAGATGAAACATGATAGTTATTTCTATTATTTACAAGTGATTTTTCTTTTTGGTGCTTGTTTTGTTCATTCCTTCATCCATGCAGATTATAGTCTTTCAGACTCGTCTCCTGCTTATATGTCTGTGCCTTTTACTTTTTTTTAGGATGTTGAAGCAGTCACACTTCCTTGAAATTCCTTTATTTTGCCAAACTTCATCGATTCTTTAACTAAAAACTAACACACACACACACACACACACACTCAGAATAAACAGCCTAACATGTCACAATATCAAATCTTCAGCAGAATTTAAGAGCTGCCAATGCTAGAAATAAATATTCAAAGTTTGTGCCTAAGGACGCCCACCTACACGGTACAGTCTTCGGTACAGGAAGGCTGGTGGTGTCAAATGAACGTTTTGGGGATCTGAGAGCTCACAAAGTAGTAAGTGCAATCATTTTAACCATGCAACACGATTCCTTTCGCTTCGAATGAAAGCGTTTCTCCAGTTTTAATGTAAGATCAATGATTAATTCCCGTCTTGACCTCATGCGGTTTAATTACTTGGTTTACAGTTTATTTTTATGTTTCTATGTTCATATAGTAGACATTTCTAACGGGCTCATCTCATTGACCAAATTATGGGTATGATGTAGGTCAAATAAAGGCACAAAATGTGAAGGAAAGCTGAAGTTGAAGAGTGAGTCCTGACAACCTTTGAATCCATGTGATTTTTTTAATGTCTTTATTTCTATCGACCAGAATTGTAGATGATTTTGATCAAAAACTCAGTGATGGCTGCCAATAGAAACACATCTGTCCCTCTTTTATAAGACAATTACCTTTCCTTGAACACTGTTAAATCATCTCTCGGTATTGTTTCATCAACAATGCTCCATTAATAAATCTTTATTCAAATGACAAAACACTGGATCTTGTGTGTTTTGGCTTCTGTTGCACTGATAAACTTCAAAGGAACAGTTCACCCAAAAATGAAATTTTCCTAAAACTCACCCTCAAGCCATCCAAGATGAGTTTGTTTGTTCATCAGAACAGATTTAATGTTCAAATGTAGCATTCCATCACTTGCTCACCTCCTTTGAATCCATGTGATTTTTTTAATGTCTTTATTTCTATCGACCAGAATTGTAGATGATTTTGATCAAAAACTCAGTGATGGCTGCCAATAGAAACACATCTGTCCCTCTTTTATAAGACAATTACCTTTCCTTGAACACTGTTAAATCATCTCTCGGTATTGTTTCATCAACAATGCTCCATTAATAAATCTTTATTCAAATGACAAAACACTGGATCTTGTGTGTTTTGGCTTCTGTTGCACTGATAAACTTCAAAGGAACAGTTCACCCAAAAATGAAATTTTCCTAAAACATTACTCACCCTCAAGCCATCCAAGATGAGTTTGTTTGTTCATCAGAACAGATTTAATGTTCAAATGTAGCATTCCATCACTTGCTCACCTATGGGTCCTTTGCAGTGAATGGGTGCCGTCAGAATGAGAGTCCAAACAGCTGATTAAAAACATCACAATAATCTAATTAACTGTCCCTGTTGTCCTCTTACATCAAAATTCACCAACATATTTCACCAACTGTTTTGGACTGTATTTGCTTGTAAACTGATCTGTTCATATCTCATTCATGATTCAGATGAAACAACTTTTTCACTGGAGAGAACCATATTATGGATATCTTAATTATGGATTAGGTTCTTACAAACACATTCACATTTCGTTAATTGATGGACTGGAGTGGTGTGGATTATTGAGATGTTTTTATCAGCTGTTTGGACTCTCATTCTGACGGCACCCATTCACTGCAGAGGATCCATTGGTGAGCAAGTGATGTAATGCTACATTTCTCCAAATCTGTTTCAACAAAGAAACAAACGTGTCTACATCTTGGACGGCCTGAGAGTGAGTACTTTTTCAGTACATTTTCATTTTTGGGTAAACTATTCCTTTAACACAACTCAAAACAATTGACTTAAGACATTATGAAGTGCTGCACTTCTCAAACAGAGCAAAAGGAGAGTCCTCGCACATGGCAGATGACGTTTCCCTTGGACATCCGCATAACACAGAGCAAACAGCATCTGCATCGGCATTTCTCCTCTTATGCTTGTATTTGCCTCTCAGAGTGTCACTGTGAAACAGGCGGTCCAAATGCATCCATAGTTTCCATCACTAGAGACAAATGGTCCAAGAATGAACTTACAGAAACACGAAGAATACGGGCTTCATCTGCGGTCCATCTCCTATAAAAGACATGAGCAAAAATCAGACTAGTTTTATTGTGTATAATAGAAATATTCCATTAATTTCAACAACAAAACACATGCATATCTAGTAAATGTTACATGTGATTGTATTTGGGGGGGGTAATTAGACCAGTGTGGCAAAGTGTGTCGACCTAAATCTAAATAACTTTTTTTAGGTGATCGTTCATGTGGTGTAACTCACACAGACAGTGTTTGTCCTGACAAATCCAGGTGTTTAGTGATTCCTCCTTTCCTGGGCTCAGGGTCAGGAGATAGAGACTGCAGGGCGATAGTTGCCTCTCTCTCGGATGGGAAAGGGACCTTTAGAAAGCTGATATTTTGTTAAAGGTAAAGAGAATAGGACATGAAATGCATGCACCTCTAGTTCTGATTCATTGAGCGAGCTACTGTGCTACTTGGCTGCACATGTATGTCTCTGAGCAAATCCCGCAGTGCAAGCAGGTAAGAGCTGGGAAAGTTTGAATAAATCCTACGATACAAAAGCAGAGCTCATCTCTGTCGTAATGAATTATTTCGACATTTAGGAACAGCAGTAAAAGGATACAATTCAAGTTTTCTATCTGAACCGTTTTCACTCATGCAAGCCGCCATGTTGTCATGTTTTGATTTGTGCTTCAGATTGAAAGCGGCATTTTCGTCGTGTTTTTATAAAACGTAAACTTTATTTCCATAGAGTAACATTCGACAAAACTCGATGTACTTTACATCCGACAAATCCTGCATTCAACATAAATGTTTAATGTGTTCTTATATTTAATGTTCTGTTTAGGGATTATTGTACGCTTGGTTTAGATTATCAAAAGTAAAATCATATTTTTACGATGATTATATTTTAGATCCGTCTATAAAAAAAAAATACAGTCGCAAAAGTAGTAGCAAAAAGTGATTTACAACATAAATGTCAAGCAGTGATGAAAATGTAAATAAATATTATATTATTTTGTTAAATTATTGTAATGAATCTTATGATAATATTTTGTAAATGCCGCGAAGTAAGCTCGGACATTTTCTGAAATACTTAATTTAAATGAATCATTCGAACGAATTGATTCAGGCAAATGAATCGGACTTTTGAATGCTTCATACAAGAGCGAGTAAACATTTAAAGGGGTCATATGATGCGATTTCAAGTTTTTTTATAACTATACAAAATATTTCTATTTCAAATAAATGTTCATTTAAACTTTGAATTCATCAAAGAATCCTGAAAAAAGTATGCAAAAAAAACAGCTTCCAGCATTTAAAGTAATAAGCAATATTGCTTGAGCACCAATAAAACAATAAAAATACATACACTTGTGAAAGTTTGTGTTTGTATAGGATTTTTTTTTGTTAAAGGAGTCATATGATGCGATTTAAATTTTTCCTTTCTCTTTGGAGTGTTACAAGCTCTTGGTGCATAAAGAAGATCTGTAAAGTTGCAAAGACTAAAGTCTCAAATCCAAAGAGATATTCTTTATAAAAGTTAAGATTCAACCTCGCCTACCTAAAACGGCTCGTTCTAACACGCCCCCACGTATCTACATCACTGTGTGGGAAGATTTGCATAACGCCTGACTCACAGCCTGTAAGTACGTTTTTTATATATAAATAATTTGCCACTGATGATTCAAACACGAGTTTTGAGCAGTAGTGTTTGTAGTTTGTCATTTCTCCGATCACAAATGCAGACATGGTTTTATGTTTACGCAGCGCGATACACAACGCAACACATAAAAAGACAGTATAAGTCATTATAATCAGTAATTATGTCCCCACTGGATGCAACAAGTGCCTTATTTGTAATGGTTTTTATTGGTTTTGTCTCGCGCCAATCACAACGCACTGGATAGCTGGCCAATCACAGCACACCTCGCTTTTCAGACCGATGAGCTTTGTAAAAATCGACGCGTTTCAGAAAGTCGGGGCATAGAGGAGAAACAATAATGTACAGTATGTTTTTTTTAACCTTAAACGCATAAACACATTTCATTACACCAAATACACAAAATAACAAAGGAGCGCAAACTCAAAATAGCTATTTGTAATGTTACACTGCTTCTTTTCGATATAAGTAGCTCGTTACTGGAAAAGCTAAGTTATATGGCCGAGCCACTGTCGCTCGTGTCACTGTTACCGAAAATGTAGTTATATTATTTATTAGTAGTGTGTATAATTTTACTTCTTTAACACTGGTCAGTTCAAATGAATCAAACCTACAGTGGGAAACACACCTGCAGCATCTTCACACATCCGAGACCCGTTATGAGGTCGCAAGCTGCGTTTGGACGCGCATATGATGCCCAGAAATGCAGTCTAGTTAGTGTGTACACTACAGTAGGCAGCGCGCTAGGTGTTGAGTCTCTCTCTGGTCATCTGCGCTGATCGATTCGGTTCAGTCCTCTGAGCTTTTTTATTGCAGGTAAGTCCGACACAGCGGAACATCTTTTATTACATGCTTTAATTTCATTTTAATCGAAAACTTTTTTCTTTTATGAAAAATCTAAAATCTTAAAAACATAAATCACAGAGTTCTAAATATGTTATGTTATGATACGAGTTTTTATAAACAGCTTAACCTGTGAAGTGATTTTTACAAGGACCATAATAATAATCATATTAATAAGCTTATTTTGTTACCTGTTTTTCATTTGCTGTTGCATATACTGTATCTTTATGATTTAATACGGTAAATAACTTATTATTTAGGCTAGAAAACAATGTGCTAAACATATAACGTAATATATAAAGAAATATATATAACGTCTAACTCACTTATGTTCTGTTTAATCTCTATATGGTTCTCTGTGTAGGCTATTTGTTCGTCTGAATATTTATTATATATATATATATAATTTTATTTTTAAAAATATTTTTATACAGTGGTTTTATTTATGTGGGATTCAAAGACCTTTAAAAAAACGGATTATGAAAATGTAAAACAAGGAAACATAATGACATAACGACGTAATCGAAATATGTAAAACCGAGTACTAGGAGACTATGAAATTCATAATTTCCATAATTTAATAATAATTTTTCAAATTCAGCTTCACACTTGAATTGTTGCTCTAAAAATATGTAATAATACTAATTTTTAAAAAATTATTAAAAAATAAAGCATTTTAAAATCCCACTGTATTTTGCTGGCTATTAAATGTATTAATAATGTATTTTAGGTGTTTGGTTTCATTTAATCATGAACTTAAAAAGAAATATGTGAGACCAAATACTAACAGACAATAAAATTCATGTTAATTTTTTTAATTAATCCTCACATTTGAACTGTTACTCACAGAATATAATTTGTAATGAAAAACTGTATTCAAAATAAAAGCATTTTCAAGAGGACTCCACTGTATCTACTGGCTATTTTTTTTTACACTGTATTTCTGTTTCATTTATTCATAACTCTGCCCTCATCATCAAACCTCCATCCCAAACACTGTAAAGTTGCTTGTTATGCTGCATTTTACTTTAATTCTTTATTGGATTTCAATGCTTTTATAGATGCATAACCCTCCAGTGGTGACGGGCTGATGGGAACTCTCCGTGACTTCCAGGTTGTCCTGCAGACTAAGATTGAGGAGCTGCAGCAATGTGACGCCCTCATGCATTTTATTTCATTGATGTCGGAGCAGCGTTACCAGATGAGCCCCAGCGCACTAAACGCCAGGCCATATCAGCCGAACCCACGGGGCTGGATCCAAATCAACTCAGCCACGTCACCCTCACCAACTACAGCAAGAGCGAGGAGTGAGTTCGAGCCCGGATGCATCAGGTAAAGCTTCAGTCAATTAGAAAAGCAACATGTTCGATTCAATCCCATCCCAGGTCTCGAGAGTTGATCCAGAAGGCTCTTTTGGAGAATGATTTCATGAAGCACCTGGAGGCCAGTCAGATCCTTACTATCATGGACTGCATGTATCCCACCACACTGGCACAGGGCTGCTGCGTCATCCGGGCGATGATGGCTCTACTGTCTACATTCTGGAAGGTGAGGAGCATCTGCTTCAAAGCTACTATTTATACTATGAGCAGTTAAAACTATTTTGAGAAAACTGAAAGTGTCCCAAACAACAGCGTTTTGTTTTTATGCTAACCTCTGTCAAGTGAATGTGCAGTTTTCTGACTTATTTTGTTTTCGAATTTGTCATTGTGTTTTCTGACTTGTTATAATGTTTTCAGAATTGTGATTTGTTTTGCACTTCTCTGCCACCGTACGTCTCTCTCTTTTGTGTCGATAGAAAGATGACAGACAGTGTCTGCTGTTCAGGGTCAGCTAAATGAATAGCTTGAAAATAAAATCGCTTCTTCATACTCAATTTCTTACAGCATCCTGCGCTCATTGTCTGCTCTCCCTCCATCAGTCATTTCTGGGCTTTCTCACTTCTTGCTCTTTTGTGGTCAGAGGTCAACTCCATCTTCAATGTACATCTGACGTCACTGAAGCATCAGAGAGTGATGAAGTAGGGGGTGAAGGTCTGTTGGAAATGTCAACAGCTACTTAAGGTTTAAAGTAAGACTTTATAAATCTAAGTTAAGGAGGTAGATACTTCACTTTAATCAAACTTGACTGGCATATGTTGAAATCTTTTGAAAACACGTCAGACCGAGTCATTTTAGTGGTTCATCAGATACTGAGGTCATTTAACATGAAAATTCAAATGTTTAGCTACTGCTAGCATACTGCTTATTAAGTAATGCACAGTATATAGTTATCCTGCCTGTAGTTTTTTTAAACAGTTTTTTGTAAAACAGAATGCATTGCATCGCGTAACACGTTTCAATCAGTAGTATGCTACACTGTCACATGATCTTTGTTTAAATCGGGGAATGGCATCCAGCTATCTAATATCTAATACCTGTCCTTCGGATGAGACGTTAAACCGAGGTCCTGACTCTCTGTGTGACCTCGGCATCCTGGCCAAATTTGCCCATTGGCCTCTGATCATCATGACCTCCTAACAATCCCCATATCTACTGATTGGCTTCATCACTCTGTCTCCTCTGCAGCAATAACCTGGTGTGTGGTGGGTGTTCTGGCGCACTATGGCTGCCGTCACATCATCCAGGTGGATGCTGCACACTGGTGGTGGATGAGGAGATACCCCCTGACAATGTAAAGCGCTTTGAGTGCCTAGAAAAGCGCTATATAAATGTAATGAATTATTTTTATTATAATATGTCTCTCAGTGACTTCTGCGTGATCTGCATGCTGGGGGTGGGCGGCTTCAGTTGGGTGGAGCTGGTAAGACGAGTAGTTAGTTAGTAGTCTCTGTAGGGGTGATTAGAAGTTTATCGATTCTCTACAGGTGCAACTGAAGAACGATCACAGTCGCTCCTTCGCCATGAAGGTCCTGAAAAAGCGTCACATCCTGGACACGAGTCAACAAGGCCACATCCTGTCTGAGAGACGCATCATGATGGAAGCCCACAGTCCATTAACTGTCAGGTCTGTACGGCTCGGGGCCTGATTTCATTGATTTAATAGAATAATTCTAATTAAAATAATTATAAATATTATTATGATATAATTCATAATATTAGTTATACTAATATATAAATTTACTAATATATGGCAGTTAGAATCTAATTAGAATTATTATTATCTGATTATAATAATTTAAAAA